AAAGCAATTTTGCCAGTCAGTTTCATTGGGAAGCTGATTTTCATGTTTCCATCATTGTTTGTTAGTAGACGAATTTCAAAAGGCTGTGCCAAGAAGAAAACCTCATTATTTACAGTTCCAGTAATCCGCCCATTGAGCTGAGCATTATGAGAGCCTGTTAATTCTACTTTCATTCCTCCAAGCTGTGCTGTGCCTTTTATATTGAGAACACTACGTCCCACACGCTGAGACTCAATTTCAGACTGAATCTGAAGTGTTGCATAATTTAGGAAAGCACATTCACATCTCACAGCTTGGTTGACTTTCAGGTACTTATCATTTATTCTGTTGTTGGCAGAAAATGTAATAATGGGACCATCAAACCTGAAAGTGACATGTGAATCATGAGTGCCTTCATCAGAGAAACTAGGAGAAGCCCATTTCCAGTTTCCTTTACCAGTGGATGTAAGTGATATGAGTCCTGCATTTACTTCTGTTGTCACATTATTGACTAGATCAGCCTGGCTGAAGAAATCAGCTTGTGGAATATTCAGTCTGTGGGAATATGCCGTTCCACTCCATATCGAAATTTTTCTTTGCAGCTTGACCATTAAATTATTCTGTAGTTCTATTGAATTTTTCGTTGTATATAAGTTTGCTCTAGTTTCAGCTTCACCTTCTACCGAAGTCCCTAAAAATATCACTTCATTGGTGTGATCAACTTGAAGGAACCTGTGGTTGACCTTCATGGAATTTTTAAGGTTCAGCTGCTTCATCTCAGGGGCCAAGAGACATGAATCTGCAATAACACTAAAAACTAGGAAGTCTAATTTGGATGTTGTTTGAGCTGAAAGGGACGTCACAAATTCTGGACTGTTTACAGATGTTGTAGTATTATGAACCTCAGCTTGTGTAGACAGCGTAAAGAATGGAGAGATGACTTTGAAAGCACGAGACAATTTGCCAAACATAGGGACAGTCACAGTATGTGGGATACGTGGAAGCTGGAACTCTGGTATCTTCATGTTAGGAATCTGGAGCTCATTTAGATTTAGCTTTGGAACCAAGAATTCTGGTATTTGAAACTGAGGCATTTGTATTTCTGGGAAAGAAATGTTAGAAAAAGGCACATCTCTCATCTTCAGATCTTTACAATATAAATCAATTGCTGGCAACTGAAATTCACCAGACGTGAGTTTGTCTATTGTTCTCATAATCTGAAGTTTAATCTCATTCAAGTCAATTGTGCAGGAAGGAACTTTAAAGGTATTTAGAACGGTAAATTCTGGGGTAGTAAATTTCACTGGGATTTTCATGTCCTTTAGTCTCTTAATATTTATCTCATAGGAGGGGATATGCAGATCAGTCAGTGGAACAATGAAGTCTGGTGTTCTAAATGTTGCTTCCCGAAGACTTCGGAGACTAACCTCCAAGGCAGGTATAGTGACTATAACAGTTCTGATTTCAGGGACTTTAAATCCTGTTTCAACAAACTGGTTTAAATTTTCAGCCCAATTTTTCAGATCATACTCTTCAGCCAAAGCAACAATTTTCTTAAAAGCTATGTTCCACTGTTCAGAAATGTGTATTACAACAGAATTGTAGAATTGGCTTATCTTCTGAAGATACCACTGGAATTCTTGGGAAATATCCATTTCAGAAATCCTCTCTCGCAGGTCTTCCAGATGTTCATTTACCTTGGCTTTCAGATTAGCAAATGTTGTTGAGTTTATGAGCTCCTTGAACCAGTTAACTATTGCAGCAAGCTTGGTGTCCCGTAGTTGTTCTATGTATTTTGAAATAACGGCTCTAAAATCTCTCAGATACTGTTTCAGTGCTTCTGCTTTCTGTGGAAGTTCTAGATTTCTGAGTTCCTCATTTATTTTCTGGGTCATTTCTAGGATTTTGTTATTTGTGTCATCAACAAACTGGTTATAGTCAAAAGACTTGAGCTTTTTAATAACCATGTCAAGGAACTTGTTGACTTCCTTTATCATCATTTCATAATCAAAGGTTTGCACTTTCTTGACAGCATCATCAATAAAAGCAACAGCTTTATCAAAGCATGACTTCACATCAATATTTTTCAGGTAGATGATCAGTTTCTGTATTGTTTCTTTTATTCTGTACTGGTTAAGCAGGTCTATCACTCTGTCCATTAAAAAATGTAACTGCTTATCAATTTCGTATTTTACAATCAATTTGTGCATATGACCTCGGAAAGCACTGATCTTCTCAGACACTTCATACTCTTCCATCCAATTTAGAATAAAGTCTTTGATTTGTTCAAGAATGTCCTTAATTTTTTCAATTGGCAATGAATGCTTCAATTTCTCTAAAACTTCTTTAGCATCAAACATTTCAATCTGCTGTTTCCAATTTTCTGCAATGCGTCTGACGTCAATATTCTGAACCTGAATCTTGAGTTGTTCTAGGTTTTCCTGAAACCTAGCTGTAATCCTGTACTTCTCATCTACATTTTTAACCCAGGCCAAAGTGCTGCTTCCAATTTTGCTAGGATAATACTGTTGAAAAAAAATTTGCAATCTTTGAATAGTTTCAACTACAGTTGTTCTTATCTTATATTTGTTATCTAGAGCTGTCATTGTTTCAACTATTTGGTCAAGAAGCTGTGCAATAAGTGCTTTAATGTCATACTGCTCATAATGGTCTTTGATGTATTGCTCAACTTGTATCAGATAGACTTGCAGCTGGGATAGTATTTCTTGAAGATTGACCATGGCTTTTTCCAGCATAATTTGGAGATCATCAGATGTTATTCTGTAGTCCTTTGCGAAAGCAACCAAATTATTTTTCATGCTGCTAACTCTGCCTTTCATATCTAATTTATCCATGTAATCATTAATGTGCTGTGGGAGTTGATCCAAAGTTGCCTTGTATTTTCTCATATGTTGTTCTATGTTAATGTTCTTCAGGTAACTTTGGATGGCCTGCAGCATGGACAGAATGGTGCCTCTGATTTGTTCAAAGTAAAGCGGCAAATGTTCCAAGAATGGTAGGTTAATAACATGCATATCTTTATTTTTGTCATACTTCACTGAGCCAGAGATGCTGAATTCCTGAGGCTCTGACACGCTGCCCCTGAGGCCCAATACATCAATTAAATTAACTTCTTCAGATATGAATGGTAATACGACTGATGTGTCCATTACAGCGAGATTTGCTAAAGCTCTCCCACTAAGCTCCACACCAGTCTTTTCTGCATCGTTGTAAGCACTGAGATCTTGTGAATATACATTATTGTTTAGCTGACTTTTCAATTTCCAAGCACTTGACTGCTCTGATGGAGTAAAAAGCATATGAACTTTGTTATCAAGCAGCGTAGTGTATCTTCCTCTAGACTTCAAGCTATGACTGGTAGATCCTCTGTAATCATGGGAGAAGGTGAAAGCAAGAGGCTCTGCTTTAAACAGGAATTTGCTGTAGAGGTCTCCTGTGTGTTCACCCATAGCAACTAGCTTTCCATTACCATTGGTATGTACGTCAGCAGTGATAGCAAATGGGGCCATAGTGGAACGCACAGAATTGCTGAAACGGAGAGATCTGGAATCACAGTTTGTGTTCATAGTAACTGAGGAAGCAAGGCCTGCCACGTTCAGATTAACTCTGTGGCTCACTGCTGCACCTTGAACATTTGCGACTGTATCTGTTTTAAAATTTGCAGCTAGGTCAGCATACGCAATGGTGTAGGTATGCCTGATTTCATCTGCTCCATAGGCTCCTCTGACATTGCCACCCAAGTTCAGCTTCAGAGGTTCGAGAAGCAGTTCAGCTTTGTTGGAAACTTCTGTTTTAGTGTATTTAATATTATTGCTCAGTTTAGCTGTAAGTGAGCTAGGCTGCAGTTGTAGGTCAAAAACATGCTTATGGAACTTGTCAAAGCTGAAGCTGTTGTCTAACTTCGAAGCAAATGTTAAGGATAAGCCAGGAATATTCAAATCATTTGTGTACTCCAACTTAATCTCTTTGAATGATCCTTGCAAATTATTTGAAAACTTGAGTCCTTCTCTGTTAACTCTGAAGTTTAAAACATGTTTGTTGTCCATACCCAGAACTGTACTCTGATATTCAGTTCCCAGTGTTATTTCTGTTAGGCTCACCCTTCCACCTAGATTGAATTTTGCATTGTTTTTACCATAGCGCCCAGAAGATGACAGTGACATGGAGCCTCCAGCAGTATCAAGTTTGGCATTCATTTCACTCTGCATTGTCAATGGACTAAACTGCACATTTGTGGTTGCGCTGCTGGCTAGACCATACTGATTTACATTAAGTGATGACTTATGTGCAGCTCGATTCCTTTGATCAGTCATAGAAATATCAGTGTTGAAAACAAGATCCTGGGAATTGAGAGAACCTGCAAACAAGGCATAATACTGGCTTTGCTTGTAAGTGGCTTGGTACTCGGATCGAAGTGCTGCCATCTTCCTTGACAAAATTAACTCCAGCTTATTGACACCTGCAATATGTCGATACCTCCCATTTGTTTCAGATGTCATTTTCAGCTGGCTGTTTTCATACTTCAGTGAAGCCGTGTTCTTTAATAGTCCACTTTGTACATCAGAAACTGAAGTAATGGAAAACAAATCATCACTGTATCTGCCAGATACCTGATTGGTAGCCTGTAGGTAAGAAGAATCCAACTTCAGATTTGATTTTCCTTCTAAAACTCGTCTCTTTTCATTGTACGAGCTTGACAGAGTGTAAATGCTTCTCGCAAAGACAGAAGCCACTTCCAGCTGTCCTTCCATCTTGACGTTATTGATATTTACATTATTTGTCTTTTCAGAAACAACATCACCGGAAAATGAAAGCTGAGGACCCAGAGTACTGGATGCCATCAGTGACACGGTGTAGTTTGCAACTGGACTAGGATCATAACTCTTTGTCCTGGCCAATTTAAAATTTGATGTTAAGAGTCTGTGCTTCAGGTGATTTTCATATGCACAGGTGAATCCATTTCTACTGTATGATGCTTCTCCAGAACCTGAAATAGGAAAAAGAAGACAAAAGATAACAGTGTAATTTATACCTTTTTGTCTTTAAGACTTTGTCTGATGCCACTAAGCTTTTATCTTACTGCTTCAATTGCTATTACTGTTATACCATTTTGCTTTAGAGGCCAAAATATTTTGGTAAATCCTGAATATTTCTATAAAAATTATTATTTTGATACTTGGGGTTAAAATTTTGAACTATGACTAAATTACATCTCTACACTACTGACCATACTGATGTGAAACAGCATGAAGTTACGTTGTTATTTAAACTTCAGTTGAGAAGATGGACTCTCAAAAATAACACATATCTAACATGCCTGTTTTTTAATGTTTTCTTTATCGTGCTTCATTTATGGTGGGGAGTTTAGGAAAGACTGAAGCTAGCTTCTCCTTTTGCAATTTGAGAACTCAAACTGCAATTTGAGAGGAACTAACTTAAAAATATCAGTTTTAAGACCTATCCAGTCTGAATCTGGGGTAACTGCTATGTAGTTATGGCAGTATATGGACATATATAAATGATAAAAAAAATTATATATATATATATAAAAAGGCAAGAAATAACCTGTGGTCATACCTACACATACACCTGCACACTTGATTTTGAAAACACTTGACTTGTCAGATATAAATTGTTTACAGAATCACTCCTTCAGTTTTGAAGGACTTTTTCTTCAGTAGGGAATATCTAGGAAAATACGGACCTTAAAAGTCTTTATTGAATTAATTTGACTTCACTTTTTTTGCCTGAATAAACAGATTCACATAATATCTTTTAAAAAAAAGAAAGTGATTAGAATTATACAACACTTTAAATAAGGAACAGGAAAATGAATGTGCTGTACCTGATACATGGAAAATAAAGTCATTAAAATAATTTTGCCAACGTTGCAGTATTAGCACACATTCTTACCTTTCACACTGTAGGAAAGTAGCTCAAAAATCGAATCAGCTTTCGTGGTATAAGTAGTTCTTATGCTGGATGCCTTCTCTGTGGTGCTATTAGCCAAAGTGTACGCTGCGGTCCAGTTGTAATAGTTGCTGTACACATTAGCAGAGACCTCTAAAGTGCCAAGTAAAGGCACACAGTAAAGGCACATGTAGAGGATAGGATTCTGGAACAGTAAATGTTGGGATTCTGTGTTCCTGAGATGGCACACTTATTCCCATTGACTCCATTACCAGAGGAGGTGTTTTAACAGTCTGTGGCACCCTTCTGTCATGGGATGATCTTCCACCGAATGGCAATGGGATATTAATTAGAAAACTGTTTTTATTTAAGCTGTATCTGGTCCGGTCTTCACTAGAAAACAAAAGTGACTCTGTTAGAAACTCTAAGTCCAAGAAGCATATACAGAAATTTCCATGATTCCTACTATTCCCACGATACTGAGCTTACTTACATGCTTATATCAATGCCCTGATGTTAGGTTTAGAGAGAAATGTAATGACCATCTATTATTATCAGCATTTTTAAAGCACTCATCTACCAGAATTTACTGAAAGCACTTTGATATCAGTGAATTCTGTCAAAGTTTTTTCCCCTTATTTCATAATCAAAGAGATTCATAGGTCAAGTAGTCCAGAAACACATTCATTCTGTAAGACCTTGCCTTGGAATTCAAAGGTTCCTGATTCTTTGTTCAGAGCTTAACTTCAGCTCACAGGTGGAGAGTGCCATTCCAGGGGCTAATATACAATGGTTATGAATCTTGTATTTGATTTTCTACTCTGAAAATCCAAATCTGCTTTCTGAACATTAATGAAAAGATGTATTGACACGAAAATGATCCTCAAAATGAAGGAATCTGAATGAAAATAACTGACACATAGGAAAAAAAAATACTCCAAAAATACTGCTGCACTTGTGCAATGTGGCATGTCAAGTATCAGAAAAAGGGGATTATATTGTTCTTTAAAAAAGTGATGTAGTCTTATAGAAATGCAGAAGAAGTCTTATTAGCATTAGAAGTTATAAGAACCTGAATTATAAAGAATTTATCTTTATGATGATAAGTGTTTCAAAAGTTTCATCCAAATACTCAGGATTTGTTTTATTCTGAATAAAAATAAATACAATCTAACCATTTTAGCAGGAGCTAGGACTGGAAAAAACAGATCATCGGCTGAAAAGCTTGTGGGGGAAAAGTGTAATTATGAAAAGGCAAAACAGGAGGAAACGTGGCCTTAATTTGTGCATGAACAATAAGCTGGCAAAGATGCTTTTCTTGTTTGCCTAACCGGTCTTTTACATCACAAAATCTTCTTTTTTACACTTAGAGCTACATCCTAAGATGAAAATCATGGAAACACTTTTGAAATTTGTTCCTTTACATCAAATGGTTAAAAAAATCAACATCACAGAGCAGCAGAAATTCCTATTATTATTATTAAATGTGCAGTGCTGATAAGAACACAGAGGAAAAAGCAGTTTTTTCCTTGTTTATACTTAGCTTAGGAATACACTGGAAGCAATACAGTTGTGTATCATTAACATCCACTTTCATATTACCACAGTGAAAGATAGTACATGGAAAAATAGCGCTAAGAAAGATAAAATGCAAGACTGTTCTCCACCTGTTTTTGCAATCCAACCTTACACTAGCTTCTGTTGTCCTTTACATCTATTTCAGCCATCAATGTGTCCCCAGCTCATGACAAAACTACACAGACATGTTTCTACTTATCACAGTGGT